AGGTGGCCCAGCCAGTCCTGGTTTGGGATTGTGCTGAGCTCAAGGTGCAGCCAAGGACCCAGCCCTGGGCCAAGGTGTGCCGGGCACCGAATCAGTGGCCCTTTGCAGAAGTACAAATGTTGGTCTAAAAACATCAGCATTTCAATGCTGTGATGAACTCTCAGCCCCAGGGAAGGTGCCTGGTGGTGAAGCCTCAGACCGCAGGGACAGAGGGCCAGGAGAAACATTCCCGAGGTCACCTGTGGAGGACCCGGCTGAACAAGGGAGCCGATGCAGGAGCTGGAAGGAATTAAGGCCACCGTGCCAAGCAAGGACAACTTAAACTAAACTGCCAAACCACCTAAAATCCCTGGACTGAACCTCAGAAGATTCCTGAGCTGTTTCCCACGTGGTTCAGCCATTGTATGCAGGGGCACACAGCACCAGGGGCACACAGCACCAGGGGCACACAGCACCAGGGGTGCAGGGACAGCTGGGGTGGTGGCATTTACCAGTGAACCCAGTTCAGTCTCTGGCTGTTTGCACGTTCAGTGCCCCAGGAGACTGGTGACCTCCCTCCACTCAGCACCTCTGGAATCACAGCCTCCCTCCCCTACTGAAGTCAACCACCTCTTCTGAAAAGCAAAAGGAAAATCAGAGGTCAGCTCTGTCTCTTGTCCCCTGCACCATCCCCGGGACAATCCCTGGAGAAAGGGGAGCCTTGGCATCAAAGCCTTGCCTCAGATTCAGAGAGAAATCAAATCTGGTTACTGCACATCCCAAGAGATGCACTCGCAGATCAGACCAGGGCAGACAGACACGAGTCAGACCCCAAATGACACATCCCTTCCCTCCTGCACACACAGGGCCTGGAACAGCTCCTGGATCGGCCACAGGCAACACAGAAGGGGAATGACCCCCATTCACTCAAGCAAGGCCAAGGAAGCTAGTTTGGAGATCTCAGGAGTGCTTAATCTTCAGCCTGAGTGACACACCCCAAACTCCAGGAGCCAGTGTCCCTGGAGACAACCATTGTCCCTGGAGACAACCCCTGTCCCTGGAGACAACCCCTGTCCCTGGAGACAACCCCTGTCCCAAGATGTGCAGGATGGGACACGAGCACACACGTGTGCCAAGAAATTCAGTTCGCAACTGGTTCAGGTGAAGAGGCTTAAACTTCTTGGTCAAATCTCACCAAGTGCATCCGCAACGCGTCCCAATCATAAAAGATTTGTTTGTTTTATCTATGTTTAAAAAAAAAAACAAAAAAAAAAGAAAAAATAAAAATACCTACTGTTAATCCTACTTTAAGTGTAAACATTCTGTTCAGTAATTTTAACTGCAAAACACTGCTTGATTACAGAGGATTTGGGGGTTTTATGTGCATTTATCAGTTAGGTTTTTCTGGGTGCTGAATGCCCTCAAGGGTACTGGGAAGCTACAGGGACTCGGGAGATAGCAGCCTGCAATATTCTGGATAATGTTTTAGGAAGTTTTCCAAGCCACTTAGAAAACTGAGCTCAAAAGTGAAATAGGTACTTAGGAACATTCATCACTTTTGAATATGGGATCTTGGCACTTCTGTCTGAGGGAAAAAAAAAAAAAATTGATCCATGTCAGATTTTTCAAAAAAGGGGAAGTTTTATAGATAAACTAACAGCACTTGATTTATTTCACAAGATAGCCAAGGATGGAAATAGTGGTTCACATTTCTGTAGTAAAGCATTATATATAAATTTAAAATCTAAAGACATATATATACACACACCAAGTTTACTGCAATGCATAAATATATAAACTTTTTAATATGTCAACTAATATAGGTCAGAAAATTGATGTATATAGTTCAAGTTTCGCAGCACTTCAGCATCGTAAAAAATAATAAAAAAATAAATAACGGTGAATGCATTGGCTGCTGCCCTTTTCTTCCCCCCCACCCCCCACCCCTTTGCTCAGAAATCAGAGTAATTCCAACCACACATCAGTGCTAGGGAAGGACCGAGCAGAAGTTTCAGGATGTCTCTTCAAGGACTATTTAGTGAAACATCACTATTTTGTAGGAGTTTGGGATTGTAGCTCAGCATGTCTAAGATGATTCAGTGAAGATGACAGAGGTTCACACTAACACAACTGAGGGCAGAGGTTGGCTTGTCTGAGGTCCACAAAGGTGCAGAGTGGAAAGTCTCGTGTGTAGTTATAATACTGGTTATCCAAAACCTCTTTTTCTGAAGGGCAGGAGGTCTGATTTCTATTTCCCATCTCTCCCATTTTATTCCTTTTAAATAAATAGAGGTCACGTCCCACCCCTCACAACAATAATGAAATCAAAAACTGAGGTAAAAGTGTTCTACCAGCTGACCTTGACTACGAAAAAAAAAGGCAATTAAATATCGCTACTGATGTGAACAAGGCTTAGTAAGAAAAGAAATGCAAGATATTAAGTTCTTCACTCTAACCACGCCATAAAACCCAGCTTTCCAAGTCAGACAGCAATAAACAAGACTGTACCTTAGCACGGAAATCATTAGTAAACAAACTTTTGATCCCAATTTAAAGTCGCTGTACGAATTTTCCTGAACTCTTAGTCCAAAAATCAGGTTTTCTGCAAAAGAAATATATCCTTGTCATACTTCACTTTTGTTCTAAGAGAGACAAAACACACCATTCTACGGCCCTCAGGCTTAAAAACCACTCTTAGCTTGCAAGTGATCTGAAGTAAAAAGGAACACAATCTATTTGTTTCTTTTTTTTTCTTTTTTGCTTTTACCAAAAGCAGCAAATCACCACTAACCGTTCCAAACACCGCTTCCCTTTTCACCCCAAGAAAACAGCCACCAAAGCCCACCCAGAAGCACATGCCACCCACCTGCAGACCAGTTCATCAGGCTACTCGAATGACAGCGTAGAAAAAAAAAAAACAGTGTCCCCGTATCTGCTTCAGATTAGTCCGTTTTTTTTTAAATATATTAAAAGTATTTCGTAGGAATGAACCCGTCGCGAACGGATGAAAAACCGTTATGTACACACCTCCACCATTTATAGGCACAGACCTTAATCTTTTTGAGGAAGGACTAGAAATAAAAGGTGCAAACGGACCAACGTCTCCTGCGGCATCCCGCTCCAGCAGCAGTCTTGGCAGCGCACCAGGGAGGTTGGTTATGGTACAGCTCCTGTGGATTAACAGCTATCCAGTCCCAGATAGCGCTTTAATTCGGACCAGTTCCCCTCAGGGGAAATGCACCTGAAATCTGTTCCGCTTTTCCAATAAGCTTCGCCAAAGGAAACCAATTCCCACAGTTCCAGACACAAAAAAACCGTCTTCAATAATACGGTTTAAACTCCAAATGGTTACGGCTGAAGGTGTTTTCCTTGCTCTCCCCTTTTATTTCCCCCCTCTCTTCTCTTTTTTTTTTTTTTCTTATGTATACTTAAGTTAATTTGTTCCCAAACAAGAACTGAGACTCAAGCTTTTTTAAGCATTTAAAACAAAAACAGTTACCATACCAAAGCACAGCATACAGTGTAAGTTTTCAGCTGTAATTTCTCAGCTTTTCCTTTATATAGAGAGCTAGATTAATGGTGGGCTGCGCAGAACTCTTCCAGTCTCCTCCCCTGGCAGCTCGTGGCTCACGGAGAAGGAACACGGATGCGGAACAGGCCCTGCTGAAGCTGCAGCCGGAAGAGTTTGCAGTTGGCGATGCGCAGGGCGGCGCAGCCCGTGCGCCGCAGGTCCGACGGGAACAGCGGCTTCGTGCGCTGCCAGGTGCCCGTGCTCCGCTTGAACTCTCTGACGTAGTCGTAGTTCGTGCCTGAGTTCACAAAAATAAAATAAAGAGAGGAAATGCCTAAAAGGTGCTGTGGGTACCACCACGTTTAACCTCCGACCATCACAGAATCGACCCGGTCGGAAAAGACCTCCGAGATCATCACGTCCAACCCTCGATCCAACCTCGTCGTGGCTCCCAGACCACATCCAGTGTCACCTTAAACGCCTCCAGGGACGGCGAATCCACCCCCTCCCTGGGCAGCCCATCCCAATGGCTGATCACTCTCCCTGTAAAAAATTTCTTCCTAAAATCCAACCTAAACCTCCCCTCGCAGAGCGTGTACGGGAACACAGATCGGTTGCTGGAGGGGTGGTTGAAATTATCGTCAAAAGGGAACTACTGGGACGTTTCTGATCCACTTAAACCCACCACATTTGGAATTTTCCTCATTTACGTTTCGTAGCAAGCCCTGTTAACACAATTTATATATGTACACATGGGCACTAAAGGATGTAGTCTTCCAAATCTCTTTTACAGTACGTGGCCAGATGCTGAAAGCTGAGGACTGGCTGTGTTTGTCAGCACACATTTATTCAGCTGGGATTTAGAGCCCAGAGTCACTCTCACATCCATACGAGCCACCAGATGATGTCATCAAAATGTAAAACTGCCTGCTTACTGCTGCAAAGACAGGAGCCACAGCCTCAGGCAGTAACAGTTTTCCTTACATTTAGATAAAAGCAGTAACACACTCCTAGTCTCCTTTTCTGATCTTCAAACTAATCAACCAAATTCATTCGGTGCTCATAGCACCGAACTTGTTTCTGAAGAGCTCCAAAGCCAACCTGCACGCTTCTGTATGTCCAGCATAATCCCCATGAACCACAGTAACTTAGAACAGAATCCCAGCCTCTCACCCTTAAAATGTTCAGTCTCATTAGTGCCAAGCATTTAGAAGATCAGAAGAAAATAAGCAACAAGAAGTTTTTAGCTCTCGTTCTGACCTGTGTCGAGATCTCCAATCACGTATATGCTGGCTCCGATGGGCACAGCTCCATACACGAAAGAACTACTAGTTGGGATACAGAGGTTCTGGTCATTTAGATAAATCCACCTGTAAAAACAACAATTAAAAACCAGGATGAGATTATTAAAAGAAAAAAAAAATCCAGATTCTTTTTGTAACTGCGACCTTCAACTCAAAAGCAGAGAGCACGTGTTAATTTGTTATGTAAAAACCAGTGGGAATGTTGTCTGGACTGCAATAGCCCTGGCTTCTCCTAGCCAGGAAAAGCAACTGGTACTGCTGGATCCTGAATTTGCTTTATTTCAGAATTGCTCCACTCATCTGTGTAATCTACCCACAATAAATTCTTCTTGCAGCCACCCAGCGTGACCTTCTGGAAGCGACCAGGCATGTCAGAGAGCCAACAGCCATGCCAGGCAATTTTCCCTACAGAGAAAATGTTAGGCTGTTTCTCCTTAAAATTAGTAAAATCATGAACACATAGAAGCCTTAATGATCCACACTAGGGGAAATAACAAATTGCATCCTCTTTGGTTCTGAAATGAATTCCTACAAAATGCTGCTGCACTTTCACAGGGGCTGTCACAGTTCCCAAGTACAGACCCTGAGACACACAAATCAAGGCCATTGTAGGTGACTGCTCCTACATCTTTTATTAAAAAATCTACAGAGAACAGGAAAGCCTGAGAAACCTTTGGAAAAATCAACCCATGTATCTTCATGGACATATCGGGTTAATCTGAGGGAAAAAGTTCGGAAATGCCCTCACAGATCACGGAAAATTCTGCATCCTCTGAACTCCCGGTTCAGAAGTAAACCCCTCTTGTGGCACTGAAGGAGATGCTGCTCCATATCAATTATCTTGGAGAGAGAAATCAATTTTTAAAGGGCAAATGAAAGGATTAGCTGTCCATGGTTTTGTCTGGGCTGTACACTGAAGGATTAACATCCTGCAGAAAGCAAGGCAATGGTTTGCAGCTGTCACAGAGGACGAGAGATGAACTAAGAGCAGAGAAAATGAGAAGTTCTCTACGCTGATCCAGAGACTCTTACAGACCAAAACATCTTGCACCACATTTCACTAGCTTCCTTTCCTTACTGTGGGAAGAGGGCACAGTCAGTGTTTTCACTGCTTTTTAGCACCAGTGACCTAGAATTATGAAAACTGAGTAAGTGGCAGAGAAATGCAGAAGGGACTGGAATTCTTGGGGTTTTTTTAGTAAACACAGGACCATGTTAAAGAAGGGAAAAAACCACCCAGTTTAGAGGTTTATCTGCACAAGGTACTGAAGGTTTTGGAGTTTAAATAAAAATATCTAAACCCACAGCGTGAGGTCCAAGCACAGCACCAAAGGACAATATTAAAGCATCTGCAGTTGCTTGTGAAAATTCATTCTGAAGCTTTCTCAACACTCTGAAAAACAGGCAGCACTTTTCAGGAACACTCACAGCAGCTTTAGCAGTTAGAACTAGGAAGGAACAAAGACAGGAAGGGCAAGGGGTCACGTTTCATCAGAATTTGACTAAGCTCCAGCTTAATGTGGGCTGTGCCTGCCTTTTGAACAGTATGGAAAAAACACCACGGCCAAGAATTCACAATCTTCAGGAATCTGCAAACAGTCCTTGGAACAGAACTCGTGCGTACTTCCCCGGGATGGCTCCACTCAAAGCGAGTCCAAGAGGGGCAGGGGGAAGGCAAAGCACCACCCTAACCATGGCCAGAAGGGATTGCTCAGGAGCTGAAATGGGCTTCCACTCAAATTAAAAAAAAAAAAAAAAAAAAAGAGGGAAGGATGATCCAAATGATCCATCCCCACTGCTGTAATGAACCAGCAGGGTGGTACCTGCTTTATGTCCACGTGGGAAGTAAGTCAAGGTGTGATAAAGAACCAACATATTCCAGATATATAACAAACCTCAAGCTTATCTCAGCTGGGAGAGGAGGCCTGTAAATGAATGGAAATACGTGTTCCTCTCATCTGACAGTGCATCAGGCAGATTTCTCATCACATTTGCATAAGCACTTGCTTTTAATGAAATTCCTGCACACTGAATGGAAGAATCTTGCTCATTACACATACTGTGTTACAAGATTGTTTAGTTTACTACTTATACACTGCTGAAAGCTTTTCCTTATTTTTATGAAGTTCCAGCAGCAAAAAGAATATTTTAAAGGAGTTTTTGCCACGTGCTGCTTCTGAACAAGTACCTCTCACTTTTATCCCCCTTAATACCTGCACATTTTCATCATTCTTTTTGGAATCATGAAAAGAAGGGAAGAAATCCTACCTCATTTACAGACCACCAGCAAAAGGCAGTTGGACTATTCCTAGGGACAGAGCTCCACCAGCAGCTCTTGCAAAGAATTCTGAAGCCAATTTGGGCTCTGTTAAATATTTCCCACTATCTACGCTGAAAAGAAAAAACCCGAGTGTGTACAGACATCACCCAATTCTCCACACACCTACGTGATGCAAGAAAGTATATTATAAATTATGAAATCTGGCAGAAGGAAAGACTGACCCACCAAGGTCTTGAGTTAAGACTTCCTGCTTTTTATGGAGTAAAAACACTGGACCACTGAGTGAAGGATACCTTTACATCTCCATCCTCCACTTTCACATTTATTAAGTCCGCTTTTAGCTTGATCAATATTTTAACAAACAGGATACAATGCACACAAAGCTCAATTTTGGAGGAAAAAAAAAATCCACATCCTGACAAAGCCCTGCAGTCTGATGTATTTTCTATCTTTGGTTCACTTACATTCACTCATGCACATGACTCTAAAGACAGGCTGACAAAACATTTATTAATGTTTTTAATTTATTAACTGAGGAGAACCTCGGTTACAGCAGCACTTCAGATATGAGAATTATTTTCTCTATTCCCCTGTTCCACATTTCACGTGGATGTTACTATTCTGTCTCACTTCATTTATTTTACTACTTGTTTATACAGCACAGCTTAACAGGAGCCTCGGTGTTTATTTTTTTGGGAGTGTGAAGATCTCAGCACATCCCCAGCCTTTAGAAAACTCCGTGTCACAGTTCAGAATAACAATTTTGAAAGGCTGCACTCTGTGAGTTATTCTGGAGTAAGTTACTGTCAAAGTAAACAACATTAAACAAGTTCAGCCCTTTAATCCAATTTAAGCCAGAATTATGGCAGCTTACAGGAATTAATATGTTTATATGCTGCTGTAAGTACCTACTCAGACATACACTCTGCAGTAAAACCTGTAAGTCAGACACCCCCAGGCTCTGGATGCCTGGGGTGGTGCTGCCCCCGTGCTCTCTGCCAGTGGGACCTGAGGCACACATGGAAATCCATGCAGATGACCCAGGTGTGCACTGCTGCATGTCCCTGAAACCCAGCAGTATCCAGCGGTTCAACTCACAGCACAGCGAGTTCTCTCCGTTCAGAGGGAACACGATGGAGTTCTGCACCTCCAAACAGCTGGAAAATCCCAGAGCTTGTTACCAAGTACAGAACATTGATATGTAACCATTAAAAACCCACTGTGAGTTTTGGTTGGAGACTGCTGGAATGGACGTGCTGTGATTCTGACCCACTGCTGCTAAACCACCTTGCAAACATATTCCTCCTTTCCATAAATCTGTTAAACCCAACACTTCTAAATTTCTGCCAGTAACATGCACATACATTCTCGATGTGACATTTCAGCCCCGACAGTTCCAGTATTATTCCATCACTGTAACTACAAAAAGTGTGTGTGCTGTGAAGTCTGAGGGTTCATATCCTTCACTGAGAGAGGTTGTCCGTCCACCTGTGGCACCACTTATGCTTTACTTCTGAGTACTGATGCACAGCAGAGCCTGTGCAATTGCTAAACTCACCAAACACACACATTAGTACTCAGGATAAGGTTTTCACGAATTTAGGAAAAGCATGTTATTTATTTTGAGTGAAGTAAGGGATTTTGATTTGGTTTGTGTTATTTCTCAATCAGCCCGGGAAATAACACCCTCACATTTTCCAGAGACTCAATTTGCTTTCATGGGATATTCATGAAACACTATTTTAACGAAATTAGGATCATTTTCCTGATGCAATGTTACTTCAGAAAAGAATACTGGACAACAATGTACTTTGTCTCAGCATTGGGCAGGCAGAAATATTTGCTAACTGCAGTTTGAAGGGAAGTCCCTTTATGGCCATTTTCTCTCTTTTCCCCACAGCTACAACTGCTCAGGTGTCACAGTCACTGCCACAGCCCCCCTGAAAGGCATCCACCTGCACAGATCTCCGAGGGTTGGAAACCTGGGATAACTGGCAGACCCCTGGAGCTGAGTGCTGGAATGTAACACAGGGACACTGCACCCTCTTCTGGCTACAGCTCCCCTTGTGCCTCCCCGGGGCTGAACTGAGACATTCCAAACACCGGGAGCACCATCCCCAGCCAGCAGGGCCATCCCAGCCTTCCCTGGTCCCCAGTCTCCAAAGGAACCCCCACAGCCCATGCCTTGCCTGCAGCACAAGCACACATTTAAGCTGAGTTTTAAATTTCCAGGCTCAGATCCTGCCGTGGCAGAGCAAAAAGGCAGGTGTGAATATTCTATCTCCCCATGTTCCTCCTCCAGCAGCTCCTCCTGCTGCTCCTGCTGAGCCGGCACAGCCCTCACCCCACACACCCAGCACACAGGGAGGGGGGAGCAGAGCAGCTGGATTTTCACCACGATTTTATTTGCACCCTGTAACCCCTGGGGGATCTCCCCGAGCACAGACACAAGCACAGCACTCACACACCGTGCAGGGCTGGGTGCTGCAGTCAGCAGGTGGCACCACGGACTCACCTGCAGCACCAAGGCTGCGACCCCAGAGGTTCCCAAACTCCCCTTCCACCACAGCTCACCCTCCATCAACCACAGGGACAGGTTTACCAGTCACTGGCGAGGAATCATGAGCTATAACCTTCTGAAGAACAGAATCAGCCTGGAAATACTTCAAGGGAATCGGCTAAAAATTGCAAGTAGGAGAGAGGGGAGAACTTCTTTCCAAAATTCTTTTCCTTTCAAAGACCTCTTTCAAAAATGTTAATAAACTTTCAGCATTTCCCAACCCCCACAGGGCTAGAAAACACTAGAGAGCATCAGCAGCAATAGCCTCTCTTATCTGTCTGCTTCCTATATCCACTTGAAAGGATGTTTTTCTCTAGCCTCATTTGATTATAGCTAGTTTAGACATCACTTTGAACAACACAGAAGACCTCTTCATGCAGAAATTAGTCTCCTTACAACTGCATCTTGCAAGAAAATTACATAATGAATTTACATCTACTATTCTATTTTTGTGTCCTTTTATACAGGTCACTGTCATAAACCAGACTTGATCTCCTAATAAAGACATGCTGATCTTCTCCACCGTCAACAGGCCTTGAAATATCTGACCACAAAATCTTTTTTTCAATGTAGTTTATAAAAGAGAACCATCCAATTTACAGTCATATGCAAGAAAAAAGTTGCTGAAGGAACCAAAGCTTGTCTTATGACTGCAGAATAAGGTGACTACACAAAAAAACCTGTCTGAGGTAACATTTTAAGCAGTTACCATGTGTAATAAGGTGGATTCCACCACCAGAGCCAAGAGGTAACAAATGGAACAACTGGAAGCAGATTCAAAACAAAGAGAAGGAGATCAGCCACACAATATGTGCAGGTGGCTGGGGGATGTACAGCATCCATAGTGCCTTTCCTGGGGCAAAACCAGGAAAAATCAGCTAAAAATGCTTGGAGCAAAAATACATTAAAATTTCTTATCCCTAGCTCAGGAATTCCTAAGATGCAAATCCCTGGAAATAGGACTGGATCATGAAGAAATGGAAAGATTTAGGCTGGAAAACACCTTTAATAAGCACTCCAAGAAGCCTTGGGCATGAGCACAGGTAGGGAGAGCAGTGCCCTGCACTGGGGAAACTGCAGAGTGCAGGGAAAGAACCACAAACCACCTGTATGACCAAGGGCTGGTCCTGTGCAGGGGCACTCAAAGACTGACAATGCTGGCCCAGGGCTTTAGGCTTGGTATGTTAAAGGGTAAAGCTACTGATGGACCTCCAGTAACAGCCAAACTGGGTCATAAAAACCAAAATGAGCAACTGAGAGACACAGCACAGACCTAACGTGCTTTGAAAGGCTGGAACAACAGTGGGGGAACAAGCAGAAGACTGTAAGGCGTGTGCTTTCCATGTTCAGAGCTGCAGGCAGTTACCTTTTAAACTCATCATGATAAAATTCAGATTTGCAGGTCACCATCTCACTGGCTTGGCTGTCATCACGACTCCTGACTCCACCAAAGACATAGAGCTCAGAGGCAACTCCACAGGCCACTGCCCCAAATCTGAAAACCCAAATGAAAAAGAAAAGATTAATGCAATATAACAAAACCAGTTCACCTATCCTTCTGAACTTCCAACAATTCTTACTTTTTTATTTATGTACACACACACAGATCCCTTCTATATCCAACAAGACGAGTCATGGATGTGAACTGTAAGCACCTAATTCAGATCACATGAAACAGAAAAGTATTTAACTCTGAAAAAAATTCCGAGGTTCCAACCAAACCAAACTATTAATTCTAGTTTTCATTTTGCATCAAGGAAGTACTGCTTGTAACAGCAGGAGTGTATTCCTACAAAATCTGTACTTATTGCTTGGATGCTTCTCTTTTCCTCAGCCATGTGTTAACTACAGGCCACCCTGACTCAGAAAGTGGGGGTGAAATTCATGGGCCATCTTCAGGGAGTCATCAGAGAAAGGACAATTTCCTCTCCTCAGAGTCAGAAAAGGTCCCGAAAAAGCAATCTGGTCCCCCCCTTCCATTTTCACCCACCTCCTCTCTTTGAGAGGACAGATTGCTGTCCACTGCTGGGTCCTGGGGTCGTAGCACTCCACAGATTCAAAGAGTTTTCCATAGGAGCCTCCACCCATTGCATAGATTTTCTTCTTCATAGCTGCATAGCAGCCAATCTTACGGAAAAAAAGAAAAAGCACATCTAAAATGACACACAAATACACAGTATTGAGGGGCCCAAAATTAACTATACACACACACACAGGCATTTGGGGTGCCTGTAGCACGTGCCAAACAATGCCAGGAGTAACAATTCTCAGCCACAGTTTTGTTTTGGTATATTAATAAAGAAGCTCTCTTTTCATTTTGAGATTATTTCTTACAGCTTCTACTTGAAGAAAAAAAGTTAATATATACATATTTTTATATATATACACATATCTGCATTGGATATATATCCACCAGTAGTGCAATAATATCCAGTGCAGTCCTTACCTTCCTAACCATGGTCAAGTCTGGCTGCTTGGTCCAGGTCCGGCTATAAATATCATAGCTCTCCATAGAGATCAGCTCCCTTTCACCATCCTCACCTCCCAGAATATACAGAATTCCATCAATCTCTACCACACCAAAGTTGTGTCGTGCCTAAGGGACACCAACAAAGCCAATGTTGTAAAATGTAACAGCCACGGTGAATAAATCAATGCAATCTTATTTTTCAGCACATCTGTCTGCAAAGTGCTGCATTGGTATCATGCCTGGGGTTTGCTTTGGTTTGTTTTTTTATTTAATGGTGAAGCCCTAAACACCAGCATAAGATTATTAATTTAATCAACTAAACTAAACAAAGGGTATTAAAAGGGAAAAAAAAAAAAAAAAGAAAAGCAGAGCAGCAGAAGCCAAAGAGACCACACAGAAATCTAAGAACAGAGCTTGGCTCTATTTCAGTTTGCACAGTGATGGTCTCCACGATGAAGCTGTTGCTTTCAGGTCTCTATAGCAGCCAAATTCAGACTCATTATCTGTGCAAAGGCAGCTCCTCTATTTTGTGTGTTTGGGCACACTCCCCTCAGTCCCACAGCAAACAGGAAACATCCCAATCATAGCCTTACTCTCAGTAGGCAGGAAACTTAATGCACCATAACTACAGATGCAGCCAAAACTACAAGCCTTTCCCAACCAGAGATTGCAAAGAGGAAAATCCTGGGGCAAACAATTACTTAATAAAAACACCCTGTGCCGATTTACAGAGATAAAACCCACAGGTGTATTAAGGATATTATGTTTACAAACAACAAACTGTTAACTTTTGGATGGAATGTAAGTATGAAGAAGGAAGCATTAACTCAAACCAAACCTAAGTATGTCTGTGCAAGCCAAGTTGTGTATGTTGGCCAGTCCTCTGTCCATGTGTTCTGCACAGTCCGATCCCTTTGTCCATCTCAGAGTTCTCTTGTTTTAGAAGGCCAGCACACGCAGAACATTAAGTACACTATATGACTGATGCATTATGAAACTCCTGAAATTTTGTAGTTCATCTTACAGTTGGCTCTTCACCAACTGTTTAGTTTTTTCCAGATCCAGCAGTCAGCATCAGACCACAAGAACAACAACAGGATATAAAAGGAAGTCAGTCTGCAGCGTGATTTCGAATGTGTAAGATGCGACTGAAGAGTCAGAATAAAATTTTTGCAGAAGAAAAGGAACATTTTTGCCAAAGTAAAAAACTTAAATCCCAACAGTTAGATAGAGATCTTGCCTCATGCATTGGTGGTAAGGAACTCCATGAATTGGTGTCTGGATCATATTTCTCTCCAGAGCTTAGCGTTCCCTTGTTTTCATCCTGACCACCAAGCACAAATAAAAATCCCTCTGTAAAACAAAATGTAACATGATCTTAAGAACAGGACTCACACCTGTACACTGAGCAAGACAAGGTGACTGGTGAGCTGTATCCTGGAATTCAATGGGAGATTCACACCAGTCACAGGTCAGACTCTGGACTGGAGAAGGCAAAGCACATACTTATATGTGACTCCAGTCTAGCCCTGCAGATACTGTTCAACAAATTCAGTGATGCAGCAACTAGAATTTACTTAAAACATGAAATACTCCTGGAGAGACAGATGTAGCAGATTCCCACAAAAGGTTGCAGGAATAGTGATTTTAAGACACTTGGATGACGGGGATTTTCACAGAATCAAGTACAGTTTTGGGCAGACAAAGGGGAAGCATGAAATAACCCCAGTGCAGTCAATCTTAAAGAAAATATATTATTACAAGCTGTATCTCGGATTTTGAGGCACTGGTTAAGTTTTCATAATATTGACTTTAAAAAAATACAAAGTTCCCCTTTACCTGCTGACAACACTCCATGATTGATCCTTGGAATACTCATAGGAGCAAGTTCAATCCAGAGCTGTCTATTGGGGTCATAAAGAGGACACATACACCGCATCACTGAGGTTGGTTTCCGTGATCTGAACACAGGGTGGGGAGGGAACAAACAAAAACAGAAAGACAAGACAGAGTTTTACAAGTTCACTGTTAACAACCGGTGTCCAAAATTTGTTTGTTCACGTTTTCATGCATATTCATCACGTGTGGCATTGCCCTGGGTAAGGAGGAGACCCGCAAACCAAACATGTAAATTGAGTTTGTAACAGACTGGGGACAAAAAGCAGCTGCACTTCACTCCTACTGTACCTTCCTGCACCCCTTCTTATGAACTTCGAACAGCTAAGAACAGCTGACAGAGTGTATTATTTGAGTAAAGTGATTCACAAACTGACATGCAAAATGTTATCTGAGTGGTTTACTACACTTCTATAAAGAGCTAACATCTAAATGCTAAATTTATTTAAGCAGGACAGAACTTTCCCCCCCTGCTGCAGGGGGTACTCAAGAAGAGAAAGGGATTATTGTGTAGAACAGGAATTTTCATCTGGCAGCTCAGATGCACTGATAACGACTTGGTTTTTGGAACCACAGCTATTATAAACAACACAGTTCAAGCACAAGTTCACTGCATTTAAGTTTTGCTATAGATGTTTCTCAGACCTTCAGAAAGGTGTTCCTCCAACATCCCGTGCTGAACAAACATCCCACTCTTAGTTTACTACATGTGGAACGTCAGAAACAAAACAACCATTTATTGCTGGATCGTTCCCAGAGGTATTTCAGCTGCCCAACCCAAACCCAACTGAACTGACAGAGCAGGGGGTGCACATGTTCTGCCCACGCTGCGTTTCAGGCTGCCATGAGCTCCAGGCACCACCGGCTCTGTGAGGCCACCGCACACTTACACTCGCTCCTCCCCCCCCACGGTCACGATGCACTCGGAGTAGCCCCGGGGCTTGAAGGAGGCCAGCATGGCCTCTCCCTGCTGGGGGGGTGTCAGGGGGATGTTGTTGCACTCCTTGACGATCTCCCGCACCAGCGGCTCGCTCATCATCTGCTCCCGTAAATACGCCGCGTCCAGGCCCGACACCCACACTGCCGACATGACATCCTTCATGTGAACCTGAGGGGACACGGGGATGCCAGGGAATCACCCACCCTGCACACGACAGCACCGAGGCACCCGTGTGTACAGATGCTTCTGTATTTATCAAATATTTAAGAGTTTTTGCTACTTGGCAGCAATTAACTGTACAGTATAATGTTACTAGGAAAATGCAGCGAGTCCTCAAAGTTTCTCTTTCTCTCCATGAAAACAAGACTATACCATTAAATGCCAAAATGGTGCTTTTCTTCTTATTGCCTATCAAATAATAAAGGCAGCAGATGATGTATCACCCACAGCGCTTCCACCCTTTTACTGCAGTCCCATGGTCTGCATTTCAGGCAAAATTCAATTAATTCCGTAAGTGCAAGATTAGCCCTGAAAGAAACAGGCCTATTACAAGTTCCCACTGATTAGAACGAACACTCCCATCTGCACCGCATTCAAAATACAAACATTTGGATGTCCTGACCTTTCTGGATTCTGAATCATGAGAAATCCACCTAATCACCGCTTCAAAGACGTATCTTTCGTTTCCAACATTGAGCTTTTCCATCGACAGCACTTCTTTCAGTTTTTGAGGAGTCAGTTCCAAGAATTCCTCTGTGCTGCTGACATCTCGAAAGTGAGTTTCCAGATACTCTGAGGCAAGGTAGTGAACATGATGCAAACAATAGTGCAGTGCAAAGTCCCGAATACCAATACAGTTCTCAGCAGCTATGCAACCTTCTAAAAACTCACAGCAGAGAGTTTTTAAGTCTGTAAGCAGCAGGAGATCAGCTGCCTGTACCACATCTTGGATAGTTTCTTCATTTAGCCTGATCTGCAAGAATTAATTTAGAAGTTATAGCTACTATCACTCATTTGTTCCATGACATGCCCGCAATCATTACCCTCAATCTCAGTGGCTGAAAAATGGAGCATTAATGCCAGTGTAAAAATCAGGAGAAACTGATATGACTGCTACCCCTTTACAAATGAACACAGGGATGGAAAGGTATTTGCTTGGCAGAAGGTGTCGAGCAGAATTTTGCGCCTGAAGAAACCAACCATAAAATTGTTCATCTCATCTGGGAACCTAAAACGAGTTTTGCTGCAACACATAAATAATTTTTTTTTTTAAAAAATTGCATGTCCAGAAAAGAATTTGAAGCCACATCTGCCTTTTCTTTTCCTGCTGAAAGTTAAAACTCATTCAGCAATGTCAGTCTGGTTCCAAATAAAGTGGACACACCGACTTTAATTCCTGCCAAGGCTCCTGGCACGCAGATCTGAGGGGGACAGTGGCAGCAACAAGAGGCCAGACAGGTGGGCACGAGGGGCACTGAGGGAGGACACCTGATGTACTGTAACGCCCAGGGATGGGGTCTCAACTTCTACAGCTACCACCAAACCAGCCCCCTTTCACAGCTGACACAGACTGTGTGCTTTAAGGCAGGTTATTGAAAATAGTCACCAATTTTAATACAAGCATTTGACGTTGACTCTAAATTTTAAAATCCTCCCTGGCTGCACGAGAAGAGCAGAGACAAGTGCAGAGTCTGCTGCCTCTACTTCACGTGCCCAGCCCTGCTCTGCAGAAGTTTCATCACAAAGCTTTAAACCTCAGCAGGTTTATCTTTCAGGACAGTGTTAAAACCTGAGTTACTCTGACAAACAGTCCAATTGCTGTCTAGTTCTTTTCAATACCATACCTGCCCGCTGAAGATGTAATCGAGTATCTCTTTCATGATATCAACGGATATCCCTTCCAGTTCAATCTTGTACGTGGAGCCATCATCCTTTGGAGGATTGTAATTCAGTTTTGTTCTAAGAGAGGAGACAAGAAAAAGAGAAAAGCTCAAAACCTGGGCACGGTTTGCTCTCAGTTTTCTGAAGAAACAAGCACTACCTGTGGATCACTTAAGCTAGAGGAGGGATGTTAAAACCTTCCAGTGTGATCAGCACGGAAAGGATGCAGGTCTGATCTCTGATATTGCTCATCCCATTTCCAAACTGAACAAGTATTTTAGCCTTGCAAGCCACCCAGGGCATCAAAGAGCCAAAGTGGTTTTTTATCCCAGCTCATTCATCCCGAGCATTCAAAAACTTCACTCAGACCTTCCAACAGAACAGCAGCTCTGCTGACAGATGAAACACAAGAATTTGCTTTGATAAAGCTGGGAAAAACCCCAAAAAAACAAAACAAAAACCCCCAAATATTTTACCAAGAAAGAAATAATTAGAGTGAGCAGATGTGATCAGAATATTCAGTGGCAGCACAAATATTTGGACTGCATTACCATTTTGTGTAGTTTATGATGTTATCAGCCTAATGCTATGCCTGGCTGTAACCAAGCCATGTGCTCACAGTTGCAGGAAACAGCCCATGTGCTGCTCAGCAGAGCTTTAAATATTCATCTGCATCAGTGGACACCTCACTTATGAGCAATTCCTTTAAAAATACCAGGAGCACTGTGATGTGCCTTTGAATAGCAAGGACAGGGACTGGGGGAAAAGATGGGGAACTAATAATGACACAGCAGACACTTTGCTTTCCATCAACTGTTTGTGCAAGCACTTCTTCCAGGAAAGATAACTTTAAGTGTTCAAAAGTGAGCAGCGTCCACCAATCTGGTGCAAGCAGCCACGAGAGCTAACGAAAGATCACTCTGAATGCCTCTTTTTTCACATTTTAGGCAATGAAAAATACATTATATAAAGACCAGAAAACTTGTTTCATTACCTCTGTGTGTATTTATATATCTACATCTAAATCCCAGCACATAAAAGCCTTCAAAGCATTTTTACATTCATTCAAACATATTCTTAGATAAAATTAGTTTCTTAATGTGAAAAGTTGTGGCTTTGCTAAGCTGGAAGTGACCAGTTTGTCACAGTCTTCTGCTATCCATGCTCACACTAATACATAAATAGGACTTAGCTCAGGGCAGATTCTGCTTTACTTACTCATATCAGAACAAATTAAGTTTCTCACAAAATAAGCTACAACTCACATCAAGTCAAACCTGAGCCTGTAAGGAGCTATTTTTAAGTGTGAATAAGGATGGTAATTTTAGCCCTTTACTTAATCATGTCTGTGGTCTTGTTCTTCCCTCTCCTACACTGCAGAAGAGCCGGTGATGGCAGCGCTCAGCTCCTCTCAGTGTGTGTACGGCACAACTCACAATACAAACAACAACAACAACAGGGCATGGATTAGGAAATTGTTCATTTCCTAACACCTGGAAGGAGATTAGGAACATTGGGTGACTCCCACTGAAGCACATGCTGCAACAGCAGGCACTGATTTACAACCTGTCAGTGTACAATTCCTAACCCAGACGCACATCTCCAGCAACACAAACAACAGCTCCAGCCACCCTGGCCCATGTGGAATGTGCACTTTTCCAAACTCCAAAGGAAATGCAGAGCATACAACACAGGGTTAAAGGCCTTTTCAACTCCAACACAGAGCAAAAGGCTTCTTCCCACACATTTGCATTCTAACGACCTCAGTTTTACTGCTACTATCACTCCACTTACACGAGTTTTAGGTTTCCTGAGATGAAACTGGTTTGTGTGTGTGGTTTGTTTTTTTTTATTTATTTAATATAAAATAAATCAAGGTTTGCAGCATGTGGCTTGCTGCAGCAGAAAAGAGAGGCAGTTGGATGGCACCTGGATCTCACATGTGTCAGGTACCTGTCAGGTCAAACGCAGCAGTATCTACACAGAACCTGGACAGTCCAACACACCGTGGGGTGTAAAACAGGCCCAAGGCATACAATAAACGTTGATGCCAGCACTAATGGGGAGATTAGGGAAAGGACTAGTGCTATTTATCACTAACTTTCATCTTAGCATCACCTGCACACACCCAACCTAAATCACCTCATTGCGTGGACTTTACTCTGACGCTTCCTGGTAACGAGAAAGTGTTGTTCAGAGTTTTTGGGTCTTATCAGGGCTAGATGTTCTAATTACTGTGTACTTTTTCAGGCATCAACAGTTAGTAATCCGAAAAGAAAGGACCCAGCCTCTGATGCAAGGCCAAAACACCAAGTCAAAGCAGAAAAATAACCCTGAGAACAAATCAAATTATTTCAGTTCCAGACACTCATATGGAGGCAAACATTCACCTTATCCAAATGCATCCCAGTTCAGACTAAGTTTTGCTCCCGTCATGTGTCATGGGAAGCCAGTTATCCATCTGTCACATGACACTAATTTGTTGGTTAATAAGCTACAAGGTTATTTATTTTGGTACAAATACTTCTGAGCTATGACACGGGAGCCATTCCCAAAGGCAGCTGGAGGTGCTCCTTGTCATTCACCTCATGCACTGCAGGACAGCTACTGACTGCTGGGAAGAGGGGGAAACGTGATGCAAGGGCACGGTATAACCAGGTTTGGGGCTGGAAAAGCGTAAGAAAGAAAACTGTGAGTATAAAGGAAAGAAAGCTGGATGGAATCAAAGGGCAAGGAGCTCTGTCTCCTCCTGCATCACCCAGCACCAGCTGTGACCTGCACCCACATCTCACAGCAAACTGAGGCCTGGGCACCTCTGTTATAACACAGATAGAATGAGAACATTTCAAAGACAGTGGGCACATGGAGAAACACTTAACCCTGGTCCTCTATCAAATTCCACTTCAGAAAGTAAGGCACCAGACGTGCTTAAGCAGAGGCTTCCCAACCTGTCAGCATCCCAGAAGGAGGATGCTTGCTTTCCACCACACTCTTCCTCAGGGTGATTTACTCAGCCTGTGATTTGTGTGGCTGAAAGCTGGAAGTGGCAAACAGCAACCCAAGGTGCAGAGAAGGGCCCAGCTGCAGCACAGCTGCTTCTGACACACGCATGTGACAGCTTCCCGCTGTGGACAACATCCCTAATTACTTTAAAAGCACTCCAAGCTGCCAAACCACAGCAGAAAAGGCTGCCTTAATTCAGATGGAAGACCAGAATATCAAGATTTAGAAGGAAATAACCCCCCCAGCCAACCAGAACACCCCTGAGCTGGGAGTGCAGCACAGCTGAAACACACACAGAGCTGGGGGAAATAAAACATGGCAACTTCTTCGTCCTGTTTTATCAAATAATTTCATTTTGAACAGTTTGACTCCATACACGTTTTAAAACAATATTTTCCATTTTTTAATTAAGATCATCCCCATAAGCTGAAATTGCCTCCAGTAACATAAACAGTGTTCTATAAATGCTCAACATCCACCCCAAACTCTTGTAGCTCCTCAGGAAAACTGCTTGGCACACAGAGCACCTTGGGCAAGTGGCATCAGAACAACTGGGTTGATGTTGTGTTTTGATGTTGTCTGTGTGACAAATTTAGAATCTGCTGTTCCACATCACTTAAGGAGTACAATCCTAATGAGTCATCTCAAATGACACTACATAAGGCAGAATGAGGAAAAAAAAATTCCAGTACCTCTTCTGTATGTGTAAGCAATATAAACAAGGTGAATTCTCAAAATGAAAACAGGGCTTCAGGACAGATGCTGATACTGCCAGAGTGACAATTCACGTCTAGTGGCATAAAACCAATTCAAACAGTAATAAAAACCTCCACAAACAAACAAAAAGCAAACCAACAGGTAAATTAAGACCGTCCATAGTTCTTGTAAAAATTCAGATGGCTCTTCCAACTTACTGTCATTTTAAGAGAGCAAAACAAAAACACAATCATCCTTTCAAGCTTACAGCCAAGTGCCTGTGACAGCACCAGACACTGGGATAGTTAAAATGAATGAGAATCGCATTGAAAAAGAGTCCATGTGTCTGAAAACCTGGTTTTCTTACAGATGAAATTTTACAGGAAGGGAATAATAATTTTTAACAATCCAACCAGACCAAATAACAAAGATAACAAAAATTCAAACAACGAACTCAGCTGCCACCAGTAGCACTTGTTTTCCTGAGTCAGACATAATTCTTATCTTTCAAATCTCTGCCTTGTAATTGTGAACTGATAAGAAACTGGTGTGTTTTTACAATGGTGGCCTAAGTTATAAAGACAACAACAAAACAACCCTTGGAATGCTTTAATCTTAGAGTGCTGCTACATCAGTACCTGAGCAGGTAAAGAAAACACCTGTCTGCAAAGACTGTGCCTATGAGAGTGCTCCAGACCACAGACACCTCAGGCAGGTTTATACTTCCAGTGAGCAGCAACCCAAAAATCTGGGAATCAAGAGACAAGCACTTTGGGCTTGACGCTTTGCAACACAAAAGTTTCACCTGCTCTGACGTCACCGCAGCTCACTGACCCACTTCCACAGCCACAGCAGGGTGGCAGGAGCCAGACTGCAGGAGCCAAGGGAGACACTCGGCTTTTGGAAAGCGGCTGCCTTCCCGAATTAATGGTTTTGCTCCAGATTAACTGTAAGGGCCAGTCTACACAAGCCTTGCCAGTATTGCCACACCAACAAACCTCAGCAGTGAAGCAGCAGAGCCACCCTTCCAAACCAGAGAGTAATAAAACTGGGGTTTGATGATATATCCTTTACCTGCACCAGCATTTCAGCCTTCTCTAGAGAGCATCAGCATTCTAAAATGAAGCTGCACCTCCAACAAATGTTTCCAGCAAAGACATGCACCAAACCTAAAACACACTCCCAAGGATGACTCAGTCCCAAAAATGGCAAGTGAGTACTTGGAGATTTTGCATCAGTAAGGAGGAAACTTTAAAAAATCTGCTTTTGATACACACAGGTCAATTCAGTCTCCTCCTGGTCTGGGCTTCCTTATGTAGGTTTAAGTCTTTCAAGTACGAGCTTTCCATGTTAAATCTAATTAGGTCCTACTTAGGACT